TATGTATTCTTTGTCCTATACACACGTGCCTATCATACATTTCAATCTATGCACTAGGCACAGTGAGAGATTGACAGCAATAAACCTAACGTAGAACCGTTATAGCACCATAGTATAATAAGTTATGGCGTGTGGCCTCTCCCTGTGTGTCTTGTTACATCGGCCATGCCCTGGTGGCACAGGCGGTAGGTGCCACAGTGCAGGGCTGTGCATGGGGGATCTGAACATGACGGCCACACCTGATCCCGGCTGGCTGGAGGGCTGCAGGCCACAGCAGTGTGGCAGGGACCTGTTGAGGTTGCTTGTCTTCTCTCTCTCAATAGATAGATGGACTTTAAATTCTAATTGTACTATATATGCAACACCAGCAGTGAAGGCAAGACCGTGGGTAAGGTGGGCCTCGCTGCTCTGAATCAGCAGTTATCCCAGAGCATGCTGAGCCCTCTGCCCTCTCAGAAAGAGTCCATCTTTATACTTACGGTCACCTCTTCCAGGAAGGGTTAGCTGCCCCTTCACAGTCTCCTTTTAAATGTGAGTTCTGTAAGGACAGGGACTGTGGTGTCTACACCTTATCTACCCAGCACCTAACATAGGGTGCTGCTTCTCCAGCCCTTGTGAGAGCCACCTGGGAATACAAGCCCTCGCTGGCAGGCTCATGGCCAAAAGGAGGGGAGGGGCAGGGGCTGGGCAGTGTTTTCAGACTCCCCAGTCACAATCCCAGGAGTCACTCCTCCTTCCCAGGAAGAGGGAGGAGAGGGAGGAGAGAGACTGGAAGGAAATAACAGGAGTGCTGATAACTGGCACCCCCAATCCCACAGAATGACTATTGCACTTACCGCCTGGAATTAACATGAATTTGCCTTCCATGGCTTCTTTCTTTTTATTCTGTTTTTGTGCTTTTCATTTAAAATGTATACACACACACACACACACACACACACACACACATATAGTTTAAAAAACACTGACAAGGGGCCAGCAGGTGGCATAGTGGTTAAGGCGCTGGACTCCCACATGGCCGACTGCAGCAGAAGTCCCAGACCTGGCGGCTTGAAAATCACTCAGGGTGCGTGTGTGTGCATGCCCAAATCCCAGGAGGAGAATGGAGGAGCAGGGACTGTTCCATGGCCATCCCTGTTGGGGGTGATTTCTCACTTCCCCTCTCACTGCCTCTCTTTGTCTTTTTCTGGTGAGCCCACGCACCCTATGGCACAAACTTTTTTTTAAAAAATGGGGGGTAGGTAATACCTGTTAACATGAAAAGTAACAATCTTCTATCCCAGTTCCCCCAAGCCTAGCCCCCAGCGCAGAGAGAACGCTATTTTACACCTGTAGCTATTGTTTTTCTGATAGTTTCCTTGACTCAGCAGCTGAGCTCTGTAAGCCTCAAGCTGACTGTGTCACCCCTGCCTGACACTGGTGTCTCCCCCTTTGGAATAAGGTCAGACTCCTGACCAGGGTTATCTAAACCTACTTCTTCAGACCCTCCCACCACCTTTATCGACTCTGGGTTTTCTTTTCCTTGTCCATGTACATTTTCAATTTTTTGCATCTTTAGAATGCCTACCTCTTGGTATTTGTGTCCTTGTGTAATCTTCTCCCCAGGACTGTGGGCTGGACCTCATCAAAATGCTTCTAAGGAGTAGAATTTGTCAAAAGCTGGGGCCTTCAAGTGGTGTAGTGGTTAAGGCACTGGACTCTTCACATGGCCTACTGCAGTTTGAGTCCTGGACCCAGTAAATCAAAAATCACGCTGGGAGTGTGTGCATGTGCATGCGTGCCCCAAATCCTGAGAGGGTAATGGTGGAGAAGGGACTGTGGCTGTCGTTATCTCCCTGGGGAGGGTGATTTCTCACTTTCCTTCTCTCTGTCTCTCCAGCACATGCATGTGCCTTATGGAGAAAAATAAAAAAAGGATTTGTCAAAAATGGTGGAATGTCACCGTTCAGGCTTGGATAATGGTTTGTCCCCCATGGGTTGACATTTTGAACTCTAGTCTTAGTGGGAGGTGATTGGCTAGCCCCTAAAAGCTTACGTGTTGGGACTTGGTGTGTTGAAAAGCTGCTGAAGGAGAACGTAAGCCCTCCGTGGTGTCCCACAGCGGAGCCTCTGGGTGTGACAAGTCATCAGGCGGGGCCCATGTTCTGGTGTGTCCGGACAGAGAGCTAGACAGTGGGGAGCCAGGCAGAGCTCTGCTGGAAGTTCAGTCTTTGGCCATTGTGGACCTTCTAGCCACCAGAATCAAGAGTTTGGAAAATAAGCCGTTGTTTCTTTATAAATCACGCAGTCTCAGGCATTTCTGTGAGCCACACAATAACGAACTGAGGCAGTTGTTCTCATGGCTGGGTTTCCGTCTTGCTCACTCTCTTGCTTGCTTGTTCTAAGAGAGGCCAGATGCCGTGAAGAGTGGCCCACATGGCAAGAGCCTGGCTGGTAACGCAGTGGCCCACAGGGCACTGGGTCCTGCCGGCAGCTGTCGGGGAGCTTCAAGGTGGACTCCTTCCCAGTGGGTACTCGAACGAGGGTGTAGCCCTGGCTGACACCAACACTGCAGCCTGTCAGAAACCCTGAGCCAGAGGACCTAGCTCAGAGCAGAACTCTGACCTGCAGAAACCATGAAACAGGGCAGGCCCTGCAGCACAGTGGTGAAGACCTGTGGAGAGGAGACTGGATCCCACATGGCTGCCCACAGTTCAGATTCTAGCCCCAGTGGCTTGAAAAACATGCTTGGCATGCCTGTGTGTATGTCCAGAGCCCTGACAGGTTGGAAAAATGGAGAAGAAGGGACCGTGGCATGGCCATGCCCCATCGGGGGCTGATCTCTCTCTGATGAGCATATATGTCCTCTGACAATTTTTTTAAAAAGGAGATGCTATGGGCTAGTGAATATTTGCTGGCCTAAACCACTAAATGTGAGGGTAATTTGTTAGATAGCAACAGGTGACCAATGTAACCATGTATTGGCCGTCGGAAAAGTCATGACACATTTTTGCATAGAAAAAATTCATCATGTGGGACCAGCAGTTAGTGTAATGGCTATGTTGCTGAACTCCCATGTAGTTGACCATGATTCGAGTCTCGGACCCGGTGGCTTAAAACTCACGCCAGGCATGTGTGTGTGCGTGCCCAAGATCCCAAGAGGAGAATGAAGGAGAAGGGATTGCGGTGTGGCCATCCCCCATGGGGAATGATTTCTCGCCTTCTGTATCTCTGTCACTCTGTCTCTCTGGTGAGTGCACGCACCCTGAAGCGAAAAACTCCTCCAAAAAAAAAAAAAAAAGAAAAAATACATCATGACTTTTCTGACAACCAAATAGGCTTAGACATGACATTTTATTTTTCTTGAACTGGTTTGTCTAATTCTAAGCATTTCTCCCTCCCTCGATTCTCCCGTAGCTGATGTCTTTATTAACTGAATATCTTTTATATGCCAAATATGCTAACTCTGTCAGTCAGAGAATCTCTCATTATTTCCTGTTAACTCCTCCTTCTCATAGCCATCAAACACTATGTGGACAGACCAGGTGTTCCTTCCACATGTTTCTGAGCTCATATAATCATATGCAAAATATTATACCCAGGTGGGACCTATTTGAGCATTCCATTATTTATTTTTTTTCCTTTTTTTTTGGAAAGATTTTTAGCTATAGGGCGTGTGCACTCACCAGAAAGACAGAGAGAGACAGAGAGACAGAAAGTGAGAAATCACCCCCCAGGGGGGGATGGCCATGCTGCAATCCCTTCTCCTTCATTCTCCTCTCGGGATCTTGAGCACACATGCACATGCGCCCGGCGTGAATTTAAACCACTGGGTTCGGGACTCGAACCACGGTTGACTACATGGGAGTCCAGCAACGTAGCCATTACACTAACTGCTGGTCCCCCATTATTTATCCTTGAACAGCGTTTTCTGGCTTCATTGTACACCTAGGTGCCCAGAGCACACCTGGTGTCTGTCAGTGACGTTGTGCCCATCTCCCCGCCAAAGAGAAAGCCTAAAAGACTGTGGTTTACGTGAGCACAGCAGCAGCTGGCCCAGCAGAAATGTACATGCTTCTGCTTCTTTCCACAGGAATCTGGAGCTGTGCCTTAGGGCCCTAAAGACCATGGACAGCGCTGAACAGTGGCGCCCGTGCCGCGCCGAAATGGCAGGTCTGCAGAACTGCCTTTGCACAAAGGGGCCGCAACATGAAAATGCTCTTATTTTAAACCAACATCCCTGCCTCGCTAACGCCAAGTGAGTATTGTTCTTTCAAGCGGACATTTTCAGATAATTTCTAGAATCCTTTGAGAACTGCCTTCCACAGCCTGTTTCCGTAAGGTGCAAAAACACTGGGCTTCGTCTTTCAGTTGGGTTTCATCTTTGACTCTTCCCCAAAGCCCATTCCCTAATGGGGTGACCCTTCTCATACTCAGGGCCCTCTGCTGGGTGGCCTTGTCCCAAGGCCAGTTTCACTCCTTCTGCGACTGGCTTCCAGAGCTCTTTCTCCCTCTTGGTGACATCTGTCATGAAGTGCTGCAATCACTTAGATGTAATTTTCCCACCGATAAACTGAGGGCTGTGAGAGGACAGGGACTTTGTCTTATTCATGGCTGTGTCCCCAGAACTGGTCCCAGCCCACACACGTAGTAAGCGGCAATAAGTCACCGCTAGAGGAATGATCGAGCTGGCTGTGAAAGGCTGCCCGTGTACAGGAATCAAGTCCACCCTTCCGTGCTCTGGAATCTGTCAGCCACAACCGTGAGGCCGGGCAGCACTGGGTGCTCAGGTCTACAGCAGCCAAAGACGACTCTAGAGATGATTCCTGGCAGCGAGACCCAGCCCCACCGGCCTCGTGTCTGGAGAACATGGGGGCAGGAAGCCTAAACGCTCAGCCACAACCCCCGCCACCCACCAAAGGTCAGTTCCAAGGTGCCCAACTCCTCTCCCACAGGAGCTTTCTCTAAATCACCCTGTCCCTCCTAAGAGCTGCAAGCATTGATAAAGACAAAGAGCAAAATGCACTCTTCTGAATCAGAATGTTCTGTGATGTTTATAATTAGAAAAGATGCTGGGAACTGCATAGAACCTTGGGAAGGCTGGTGGGGAAGCAGTCCAGACTTGGCTAGAATTTTAAAGAGGGCTCACAGGAAGTGAAAGAAGGAGCGAGGTGCTGCAAGTCCCCGGGAGGACGTGCAGGGCTCTGCCGAGACCAAGTGAAACCCTCTTCATTTCAGAAGACTGCAGAGCTTGAGTCTAATTTGGAAGTCAACCCTGCCTGGTCCCTAGAGGGTTGGGACCCATTCAACGAATGTCCCCAGGTCTGTAAGAATGTCTTTGTGAAGCTTTCTAGTGGCTGTCCCCTTAGGCACCTGATGGAACCCAGGCTCTCCCAGGCGGAGGGTGTTCTCTGGCCTTCATTGGATCTTCTGCAGGTCCTCGGGCCCAAAGGAGCAAGGCAGCAGCTCCTGGACCGTCCTCACAACATACGTCCCATCCGGCTTGGTCATGTACACGGCCCAGCTGGTGCCAAACTGGAAAAGATGCAAAGTCAGCATGAGGGAGGCAGCGTGGCTGAGGGATAGGACAGACCGGGGCCTGGATCTGGCTCTACCCTATGGCTAACTTCCCTCTCCATACCTTGGTTTTCTTGTCTGTAAAATGGGAATGACAGTGACTATACTTGGCTCGTCAAACTTGAGGGAGGAACAAATGGAAGAGCACCACTGAATAGCACAGTGCTTGGCCTGTCGTTAGTGGGCACTCGATGCTCCATCAGGGACCCACCTGGGGCTGTGTAAGAAGTTATCTAACCCCAGAGCCCGCGTGCCTCTGCTGTGCGAATGACCAGTGATACCTGCTCCCCTCACAGTGTCGCCATCACACCTCACGCCAGGAGACCATGTCTGTTACAGTGCTTCCCAGAGACTGCAAATGCATCAGTTCATCAGCCACCCTTCCGCTAGGTGCTACCCTCATGCCCATTTTAGTGATGAGGAAACTGAGGCTTTGTCGGGTAGAATTAGCACAGACACATGTGTCTCCCCATCTTCTTCCTCCACCCAGGGGAGCAGCCTGCTTGCTGTGTGACCGTGGGCAGGTGATAACTCTTTGGGGTCAGGCTCTTGATGCACAAAATGGTTTTCGAGACGGGAGACTGTGCTAGGCTGAGGGGTAAGCTGTGACATCAGGGAAAGGCCCCGGGTTGGTCTGTGGACTCAGGCTGCTCTCACGCAGGTGCGGTGGGAGCGGAGCCGGAGCGGGTTGGTGTGCTGCACACAGGCGCAGCCGGGTGAAGCCGTGCTATTGTTTATGCGGTTGCCAGCGTCTTGGCCTGAATTGCCACGCCATTACCAGGCACAATCAATCTTCTGGCTTCTTCAGAATTAATGTTTTAAGGAAGGAAATTTTTCTGCTTGGCAGGCTGTCCCTGAGGGGACGGACAAAAGCTGAGCAGAGACAGCTTAAGTGCCAGGTCCCTGGTTCCCAAGCCTCATCGCTTATGATTTGCATTTTGGGTTCAGTTTTGCCTCTCCCTCCTTCAGCTTTTTCATTCGCCTCCTCTCATTTGCCAACATCTAATCTGTGTAGAAAAAATAGCAATGAGCCATTGGACCAGGTCGGGGAACCGGGAGCCGGGATGTGTGCTCCGTGCGGCTTCCTTACATGACCTTAGACATCACCCCATGCCAGGCAGCGCGAGACTTCTGCCCTTCTGAACTGAGATGGAGCCACAGCGTGGATTCAGTGCTCTCTCAGTGGCATTTTTCATCTGGGTTTGGGAAATAAATTCTGCGAACTTCTAGTTTGCAGTCCTGGCAAGCAGCAGAAGGAAGATGGAGGTGTCTGTACCCTCCAGATGCTTTGGAACCCTGAGGCACAAAAACAAAACTGAAGCAATCGCTTCTCCCCAACACAGACAGCCCCGAAAGCAGAAACCCCATGGAGCAAGCAGCTTCCACATGGCAAAGCCCTACTAGGCTTCTTCCACGGCGGAAAACAATTCTGCCCGATTTATGGAACCATAAAGGCGGTGAGGCAGCAGTGAGGAGCAGGGCGTCTGGAGACGGGCGTGTGGCCGACTGGCCGGGGCTCCTCAGCGAGCCACTTCGCCTCTCTGAGTCTCAGAGTACTCCTCTGAGAATGGGAATAACGGCACACACTTCCTCCTGGGCTTGGGGTGCTGCACTAGAGGGGCTGGACATTGATGTCAGAGCTCGGCATGGTGTCAGTCGTGAGACTAAGCTGGCGGCTCAATAGTTTGGGATTCTGGAGGATCTAGACTTCTTTGAGAATCCACAAAACGACTGACACCCATGCCAAGTGTACATATCAGCATAAAAGCCTCCCACTGAGCTCAGATTAAGAATACAGGCTCTAAGCCACCCTTTGTTTTTAGAGTTGGAGAAACTAGAGGCTTCCATTAAGATGATTTTTGTAGGGCTGGTCCCATAGCCTCGTGGTCAAGGGGGCCGGATCCCACACAGCTCACTCTGGTTCAAATCCTGGCTCCATAGGCTTGAAAAACACACCCAGCACGTGTGTGTGCCCCACATCCCAGCAGGGTGGAGCAATGGAGGAGAAGGGATTGTGGCATGACCATGCCCATTGTGGGTGCTTTCTCCTCTCTCTCTCTGTCTTTCTGTTGAGTGCATGTACCCTCTGGCAATTAAAAAAAATGTACTTTTTAATAAAAAGTACATCAGATCCCTCAGGTTCCTTCTTGAAAACATCCAGTGTTTTCCCTTTATTACCTTCCCCGCCCCCCATATTTTTTCCTTTTTCCTTCATGCTGGCGTGTGTATATGCACGTGAGTGTGAGAGAGAGCGAGTGCGCCTTCTCAGCGTCGGGTCATGCTGTGATCCCCTTCCTCCAGTCCTGCGGCCCGTCAGATCTTGGGCTTGCACGTGTGCCGGAGTGTTGCAGACCAGCCAAGCTGGGGATGGGAGCTGTGGGATCCACCTTCTTATAAGCAGTGCGTTACCACTGCACCGCGGAGCCAGCCCTCCGGCTTTTGTAAAGTGGTAAAATAGACATGACATAAAATACTATTTGTTATTTTAACCATGTGTAAGTGTACAATTCAGCTCTCTTTATTCTTGGAATAAAATATACCCTCCATCCATGGCTTACCCGTCCCTGTGATTTGACCCCCGCCTACCCCTCTGACTTCACATCCTCTTGCGTTCCCATGCTCCACACACCCTAGCCCCTCCGGACTTCTTGCTATTTATTTATTTATTTTCAAAGAAATGTTGTTATAGGGTGTGTGCACCCACTGGAGGGAGACAGAGAGAGAGGGAAGGTGAGAGAGAACTCTCCAGGGGGAGTAGCCATGCTGCTGGGTCTGGGACTTGAACCACATAGGTGGCCATGTGGGATCCAGCTGCCTTAATCACCATACCACCAGCTGGCCCCTTGCTTCCTCTGCCTGGAAAAGCCCTTCCTCAGAGCTTTGTCTCATCTTTTCTCAGTATTTATATTTCTGCTCAAATATCATCTTTAAAGAGAGGCCTTTCCTGGCTTTCTATAGCAAGGGCTGCAAGCTTTTCTCTTTTCACTGTCAAGGACTGTGAGTTACTTAGGGTTTGCAGGCCATGTGGCCTCTGTGGTCACTGCTCGGTTTTGTTATAATAAGACCAAGGCAGCCAGAGACAATAGCTGTGGAATGGATGTGGCTGTGTTCCAATAAAACTTTATTTACAGAGACCAGCAGTGGTGTAATGGCTATGTCCCTGAAATCCTATGTAGTTGACTGCGGTTCAAGTCCTGGATCTGGTGGCTTAAACTCACGCTGGGCGCATGTGCGTGCGTGCCCAAGATCCTGTGAGGAGAATGGACGAGAAGGGATTGTGGCGTGGCCATCCCCCCCTGAAGGGTGATTTCTCACTTTCTGTCTGTCTCTCTCTGTCTTCCTGGTGAGTGTACGTGCCCTATAGCAGAAACTTCTCCAAAAACAAAACAAAAACAAAGCAAACTTTATTTACAAAACAAGTAACAGGCTGGATTTGGCTCATGGCCCCAATTTGCTAACCTCTGACCTAGAACATCCCCTGCTGCCTCTTTTGTCACTAGACTTCTTTTCCTTGATAGCACTCTTCAAGGAGTGTTTGAAGACACCCCTTCTATTTTTGCTGAAGGCCGGAATCATTTCCAGTGAATTGTGTAAGCTCGGGAAGGCTTAGAAGTCAGCCAGTGGAGAAACAAGCCAGCAGCTGCGTCTCCCGGCTGGCAGCTGGGCATCGCGCACACAGCCCGGGAGAGCCAAGAGGCATCCAGTTCCCATTCCAGCAGAAAGAGAAGCTGCTTACCTCTCTCATGACTTGCCTGCAGGCCCCACATGGTGAGATAAAGTCATCTTGCAAATCACTGCGGAAACAGAGAATCATACTCAGGTCAGTCACTCTGAGGCACCAGGACAGTTGCTAGGACGCAGGCGCTGAGGCCTGGGCCTGCTGCAGACTAGGGCAGCCCCACGAGGCAGTCAGTTCCTGATTCACGGACACGCTGTGTCCTAGAGGCTGAGAAGACCACTGGGTGGCTTCCCAGACTTCCATAAGGCAAGGCCACGGGCAGAGCATTCAGTGTTTAGTAAGTCCTCACTGTCACTCCTACCCCAGGGGTACAAAGGTGGAAGAGAATTTGTCTCTTCTCTTCAAGAGATCGCTCAGCCCTATGGGTGACACTGGAAACCAGAGGAGTTACCTTTTTTTTTTTGATGAGGTTTTTACTATAGGGCACGTGCACTCGCCAGAAAGACAGAGACAGAAAGTGAGAAGTCACTCCCCCCCTCCTCCATGGTCTTCTCCTCCATTCTCCTCTCGGGATCTTGAGCATGCACACACACACACCCGGCATGATTTTAAGCCACCCAGTCCGGGGATTGAACTGCGGTTGACTACATGGGAGTCCAGCGACATAGTCATTACACCAACTGCTGGTCCCACCATTTTTTTTTTTTTTTTGAGAGATTTTCACTGTAGGGCGCGTGCGCTCGCCAGACAGACAGAGAGAGACATAGAGACAGAAAGCGAGAAATCACCCCCCAGGGGGGATGGTCACGCCGCAATCCCTTCTCCTCCATTCTCCTCTCGGGATCTTGGGCACGCACGCACACGTGCCCGGCGTGAGTTTTAAGCCACCAGGTCCGGGACACGAACCGCGGTCGACTACGTGGGAGTCCAGCGACATAGCCATTACGCTAACTGCTGGTTCCCTTTTTTTTTTTTTTTTTTTTTGAAAGAGTTTTGCTATAAGGCACATGCACGCTCCTGAGGGACAGAAAAAACAGAGAGACACAAAGTGAGAAATTAACCCCCCCACCCCCCGGGGGATGGCCATGCTGCAATCCCTTCTCCTCCATTCTCCTCTCAGGATTTTGGGCATGTGCACACACACGCGTGCCTGGCATCAATTTCAAGCTGCCAGGTCCAGGACTTGAATCGACTATGTGGGAGTCCAGCAACATAACCACCATGCCATCTGCTGGTTCCAGGAGTTACCGTTCTAAACACAATGCAGTAAAAGCATACAGCAGGAGGGAGACAATCCCTGCAGAGAACGAATACTTTATAGGAGCAGCGGCATCTGACCGGGCCCTTGGAAGAAGTGCAGAGTTCAGAAGTCACCCTTTAGTGAGCACTGCCTATATCTAAACTCTGTACCAGACACATGATGTCCATTATTTCATTTAATTCTCACGGCAACCTGAGCGTCAGAATGGGCCACTGTGCAGGAGAGGAAACAGGCTCAGTGAGATGGAGTAACAGATGCCATTCTGAAGCCCCAGGGGTTTTGTGTTACAGGCAAAGAAAATAAGCGGTATGTACAAAGGCCCTGGGTGTGAAAGAATAAGATGCCTGGGAGTCAAAGAGAAATGGGCTCCTTGCTTGTGAGGCCTGGAGAAGCGCACTTATAGTCAGGGTTGTGTGTGAGCGTAGGCACCACAGGCAGTCCTCCACCTCCGAGCAGGGAAAAGGATGGAGCTTGAAGAAAGTGGGCTCAGGGCCAGCAGATGACGTAGTGATTGCATTGCTGGATTCCCACATGGCCAACCACGGTTCACGGTCCGGACCAGATGGCTTGAAAATCACGCTGGGCACGTGTCCATGCATATCCAAGGTCTCAGGAAGAGAATGGATGAGAAGGAATGGTGGTCCGGCCATTCCTCCTCGGGAGTGATTTCTCACTTCCCCGCTCCCTGTCTCTGTCTCTCTTTCTCTCTCCAGTGAGCAGATGCTCCCTAAGGCTAAAGCCTCTCAAAACAATGAAAGCAGGCTTAACCTAGGAACTTCCAAGTCCACTGGTTAAGCCAGCAGCCACCATCATCCTTGTTCTTCTGGCTCAAGCTTTGGGATAGCTCCGGAAGAAGACAAGGTTTGAATTTTATTTTATTTTATTTTTTCTAGGTTTTTGCCTGTGCTTGCTGGAGAGAGGGAGAGAGAAACAGTGGGAGGGAAAGTGAGAAATCACCCCCTATGGGGGATGGTCGTGCCGTAGTCCTGTCTCCTCCATTCTCCTCTTGGGATTTTGGGCACTCGTTCACATGTGCCCAGCGTGTTTCTCAAGCTGCCGAGTTTGGGACTTAAACTGTGGCCGGCCGTGTGGGATCCAGTCGCCTCAACCATGCCAATGGCTGGTTTGACATTGAGTCATTCTACCCCATTCAAGTCTCATTTCTTTGCCTGCTGGATGAAAGTGGGTAGTAATGTCATCTACTCTGCAGGAACGCTGGGAGATAGAATACGGTGAGCTGTACAACAGGCCGGGTAAACTTGAGAACGCTATGTACATATCGTCATGGACTATACTAATCGCCGGGCACTTACTCCCTTACATACACAGGCTCTGTCATAGCTTTAGTACTTGGTCATATTGGGGTGTCAGAAAAGTCATGACAGGGACCAGCAGTTAGCGTAATGGCTATGTCGCTGGACTCCCATGTAGTCGACCGTGGTTCACGTCCCGGACCCGGTGGCTTAAAACTCACGCTGGGTGTGTGCGCATGTGTGCCCAAGATCCCGAGAGGAGAATGGAGGAGAAGGGATTGCGGCGTGGCCATCCCCCCTGGGGTGTGATTTCTCGCTTTCTGTCTCTCAGTCTCTGTCTGTCTGGAGAGTGCACTCACCCTATAGAAAAAAACCTCTGAAAAAAAAAAAAAGAAAAGTCATGACACATTTTTGCATAGAAAAACAGGAAAAAATGTCATGACTTTTCTATCAACCCAATATGTGCACTGTCTCATTTCAACTGATTATTTACTGAGCACCAACCACGTGCCAGGCACCATCGTTGGTGCTGGGGGTACAACAGTGAACAAAAAGACAAAATTCATTGTGCTCAGGAATTTATAGACTAGTAAGGGGAACCAGCCACCCAACCATGTATCAAGTGGATTTAGGAACAGATGCTGTGAATAGAATAACGCAGATGAGGGGACAGAGTGCGATGGGGTGCTATTTTATTTAATCCTCATGATAAATACCTTTTATATGCAAGAGCCAATCAGAAAAAGATTCTGCTCCGTGGGAAGGTGGAGTCTTCTCTGAGCCTGTTTCCAGCTTAGTAGAAGGTCCATGGGAACATGGGGAATGGGGGCGGGGGGCACCCCTGCCCAGGACGCCCAGAGCCAAGTCAGCAATTACTGACAGCTGCTGCAGCTAGGGCCTCTCAGACGCTCTTTGGAGCTTGGATTCTGTGCTATCTTTCATGTCAATCCACTTGTGTTCACCGGCTCTGTGCCACTCAGGCCTGGGAAGCAGCAACAGAGCCCAAGCGGAGAATCCGCGTCCTCAGGGACCTCCCCGACTGGAAGGGGAGATAGATCCTGCATGTAAATGCTGTCACACAGGCAGGCTGTGGCCAGGCCGTGGGAGAGGTGCTCTGTGTGACATTCAGCCTCCCTCCTCTGGCAGCTTGAAAATCACCCTGGCCACATATACACGTGTGTCCAGAGTCCCAAGAGGAGAATGGAGAAGGGATTGTGGAGTGACCGTCCTTCCTGAGGATTAGTTTCTCGCTTCCTGTTTTTCTGTCTGTCTGTCTCTCTAGCTGGTGAGTTCATGTGCCCTATGGCAAAAACAAACAAATAATAATAATAAATAACTAAACAACAGCAACAAAACAATATGTAAGTACTCCCTGCCAGAAGCCTCACAGAAATCACTTACTGGGGTCTCACGACAGACCACTGAGCAGATGTTACTTTCCTGCATTCCCTGGATGAAAAGCCAGGCCCAGAGACTCTGAGAAATAGAGTTCAGCAG